CCCATCTAAAATCTCCTCTTCCCTAGCCCCGTAGGGGCTAAATGTAGGGGTTAAATGTAAGGCTAAATGTTTCTATGATCCAATAACTACTTAAAAAGCTAGAAACCATAAAAGAAAACTATTTTGAATAAGGACAAGAGTATAATAATTAGCAATTAATGAATGACGCTGAGAACTTTTCTTATGAAGAATTATGGACAGGAGGGTGTTATCCGTCGAGGCCGTAACAAAAATTACATGTAGAATAGTTTGGGAGCCTGGGTTATTATTATAAGCCATGATTATTACCTTGAAAATGATTTAATCTTTCTGTCATCTGTTTCATCTCTGCTGCAACTTTTTGCAGCTCTTGCTGCACTTTTATCTTATCTTGGTCAAATTCTACAGACAAGTTATTCATATCATCTTGCAGAAATTTAATTCCTTGCTGGACAAGTTGAAGCAACACTGGGTCAACAGGGGAGTTCAAGCACAACAACGTCCCTACAAACAGAGTAGAGAAGGCTTAAATTCTACACAGCATGATTGCTCATCAGATTAGTCATCAACGCCTTCATTCAACAGGAGTCCATATTCCCAGCTGTCTGGTTGTCCCAGACGACTACAATCTCATACGGACGATATCTTTTTAAGATAACACTTCAAACCATCTTGCCTTCATAGCAAACTGACCGAATGTGGCCACTTGTAAAATGCAAATAAACTGTGTTAGGCCTAGGCCTGTAGCCTGTTGTACTTAACAGTTAACTTTAAACCCTCTCTTAGTAACTATGATGGAAATAATAACATGCTAATCAGAAATTTTCAAGTTGCACACAATTTTTTCACCATTCTTTTATATAATTCTGCACTTTTGTCCGGGCAACCCAAATCATAACCAGGCAAGTATGCCATAACGCTAATACTTGCCCAGCTGACAACTGTGAGAAAAAATGAATTATTCTTATGGATCCCTGATGCAACAGCAAAAGCAGAAGAGTTTAAAAACTTAGAAGCTGCCATGTTTGACAACCTTATTATAGGTTAATTATCATTTTATGGCGACTTTTAACTTGGTGTCTGGGTCAGAATTGTTTAATTGGTGCAACAAAACAACAAATGCTGTTTTAAACCATATGATGCTTTAAAAATATATAAAAATGCAAAACAACTGCAGAATGTTAAGGTATTTTTTTGTATACAAGCCTTGGATTATTTTTTCTTATAAAACTTGATCTAAAATTAATTCCCATGTGGGCTATAATGCAGAAACTCGTGTTTGGAGAGCATAGTTATAATAGCTGATTTACCATATCATGATGGTTTGGCCAATCAAAACTTTTAAGTTCTTAATTCTTAAAAGAATTGCATGTGATTCAGTTTGCAATAACTATTATTATATTTTATCTCTATATCAAAGTGCAATACCTTTAGTTTCCCAGTCTTTCAGTTCTCCAAGGAGTTTTGCTTTATCTGCTGCAGGTAGAGCCATGACTCTCACCAGGTGTTCCATCTCAACAAAACTCTGCTGAAACTTAACAGGATCCCACTTACTGAAGACACAGTGTGCCCAGTCATTCCTAACATTCTTGACATCACCAGCAGCAGCTTGAACAGCAGTTGAGAACACAGGTACACCACCAAGTAATGTCAGTACAGCTGAAGCATCACATTGGTCATCAAAAGCACTGAACTTAGCCATGAAGTTTTCAACGTACAACTTGGCAAAGTCAATGTGAGATAACACTCTACAATCAAACAAGGAAATGTTGTATTTTCCACCAGGAAGCTTTGGGTGACGACTGTTAGCATTGATGGTCTCATACTTTAAAAACTTTCTTGCAGGCCACCTTTGAAGACGACCAGATGTACTTTGTGTATGAATATTGTGGCTTATCTTGAGATTGTTGTATTCCTTATCAACCTCTTGTTCCACAAAAGGACGGATCTGTGGCACAAGTATCTTGTTGAGTGCTATTCCCACCACAAGCCATCTTTTCTGGTTGTCAGATGCAACAAGATGAGTGGATCTAAAAGATTAAAAATGGAAAATAAATGGTAAAGCCAACAGTGTGTACAAAAATATAATTGTGAAAAAGCAAAGTTTACAGTCATGTATAATTTATACTTTTGTTAAGTTGATGGTTTCATTGCATTAATTTTGTTTTTATGTCGTCAGTTTAGAAACTAACTTGTAAGTATTGCTTAACTTTCCATAATGATAAATATATCTCTTTAAAAACGTCTTGAATTGTAGGGGGAATTAGTAGCCAACTACTCCTACTGATGTATCTGACACTTTCATCACCCTTTGGGGTTGAAAACAATGTTCATGAATACCTGACTAAAAGAACAGGGTTGTTTGCTTATTGGCACACTAATGGGTACACCATTATTTGCTGTTTATTAATGGTAACATATGTCCATCTTTGACAACGCTCAAGATGTCCACAGCAACCAAAAATCTATTGTTCAGAAGCCTCCGGAACAATTTTAGCAATGTTCAGACATATTCAAAACATCTTAAAGTTTGCCAATGATTGAATACTGTCGGATATCCAGACTGGTGGGCTCCACCTGGTATACAGACTGCGTATACCTGCCAACTTGACATGACATGCATGAGATTTTTACCTTGTCATGACCGGAATTTGCGGAAACATCCCGGTGACTTCCGAAGACTTTCTGAAGACTTCAAAACATTGCTGAAAATGTCCGCAGATGTTCTGAAGACGTTTGAGCACATCCGAAACTGCTTTACAAGACAACAACAATCTTTTGTGCTTTCATTTCGTTAGAACACAAAAAAGGATACATCATTTAACACCTTTTTGGATTGAATTTTCATTGGGCGAGGACAAAACATGGACCAGGGGTCCATGGACCCCCACTTTGGACCGGGTCCATGGACTACTTTCATGGACCGGGTCCATGGACCCCCTTTCATGGACCGGGTCCATGGACACTTTTTCTTAATTAATGAGAATTGAACAAAAACAGAAATAGAGCAAAAATAAGATTTGACAAGATGCTGTTCACAAATATTTAGTTGTGCTTACGTACAAAGACTTGCATTATGAACAAGCTGAAGTTTAGAATTCATTGCTTTCAGAGCAATTGTGACTGAGTCACATCGCAATTGTCCATAGTTGATGTAGCTAAATTCAGTTTAAGCTACAATCCACTTCTTCAATATTTAGATCTGTAAATTACTATCCATGAGAATTAATTATCCTGCTAAAAACGCTAACAAGCTGGGCAAAGCGTGACCAAACATTGACCTCTCAGCATGAAATACACTGAAACCTTTATTAAGCGGACACCTCTATTTACCGGACGCGGACACCTAAAAAGTACCTGAAATGGTCATTTCAAGTTGTTGCCAACCTGTATTAAACAGACAATAATAATTAAATTCCACCACCCAACATGCTAGACACCGGAAATGCAAAAGATTGCCTCAAATTGCCACCCACAAATTTTTCGATTTTTACATTAAAAAACGTGACTTGATTAGTTTCACAGTACAGTGTTGTTTTCTATTTCATTTTGTTTGTATAGAGCTTGTTTCGCTCACCTGAATTCTTCAAATTTGAGTTGCAATCTGTGTTTATATGGTACTATGATCAATTGGTCCACTTTGATAAAGAAATTAATGCAAACCTATATCATCATAGCCTCTCGGGGAGTATTCTGAGTGTTTCCACTGTTCATTTGAATGGCATTTGACATCTCATATGATGTTATCTATTGAAACCTGTATTAGGCGGACATCCTGTATTAAGCGAACACTACAGCATTCCCCAAGGGTGTCCGCTTAATACAGGTTTCACTGTAAGCAGTAAAAAATTCACATTTGCTCAGTCAAAACGTTTTCCACCAAAGCATAATCCACTCGTCAGAGGAAACAATTCATAAGAACAAGTAGCATTTTGGCATGAGGTAAAAGTCGTGCATTGAATAATACTGATCGATCGAGTATTGTTTGTTATTGTTGTTGTTTTTAATCTTCTTTTTGCTCTATTTCTGTTTTTGTTCACTTCTCATTATTTTAAAAAAAACTGTCAATGGACCCGGTCCATGACAGGGGGTCCATGGACCCGGTCCATTAAAGTGGTCCATGGACCCGGTCCAGGATGGGGGTCCATGGACCCCTGGTCCATGTTTTGTCCTCACCCATTTTCATTATTTATCATGTGTTACAGAACATTAATTTATCCAGATAATGTGAGTCAGGCATAAGAAATTGTCCTTGATGTGTGCAGAGATCTACAGTGGCCCAAAAGTGTCACGGCAATTTCAATTTACTCACAGCAATTTCAATTTGTTCAAGGCAATTTCAATTTGTTCACGGCAATTGCAACAGCAATTTCAATTTGTTCACGGCAATTTCAATTTACTAAAGGCAATTTCAATTTGCTCACAGCAATTGCAACAGCAATTTCAGTTTGCTCACCGCAATTTCAATTTGCTCACAGCAATTTCATTTTTTTCACGGAAATGCTTAGCATTTTTCGCTTCGCTCACTACCTGTCAACTATGGCGGCCGACAGTAGCTACCAAACATCAATTAAAACACAAAATCGAAAGTCAATATTTAAAGTCGATCTTCTTTACTGCTCCCAGAAAATTATAAGCTTTATCTAACAATTTTATTTACTGCACAGCATCTCAAAATGGTGCAATCCCTCACATTAATTAATCTAAGCATTGAAGCGAAAGTCTTGTTTACTGATGTTATTGGTAGCAGTCTTCCTATTTTTGCCAAGAAAGAGCAAAAATGGTGGAGCCATACGAAGGAACATGCTATTTATGGACCCAGTCTGAGGTTCATTTTTTGTTTTACATGAGAATGGTATGGTCTCAGACCAGCATGAGACTGGGACGAACTCAGGCCGCCACGAATTTGTAATTTTTGCAGTCGTTTACATGAGACCGGGACGAAACACTTCGTTGATTACATGAGACCGGTACAAACTCAAAAACAGGAGATTCTTGTAGCTATATAACTTTCTTAAGTCGATTATTTAACATTTATTATTATTCACTAACTGTCCTAACTGGTACACAATTTACGCTAATTAAGATCGTAGATATTACTGCTCCCAGAAAATTGTAAACACTCATCTGGTGGCATGTTAAATGCACAGTCAGCTTCTAAAAATGGTGAAATCCCTCACATTAACCGAAGCATATATTCAATTGAAGCTACTTCCAAGTCTTGTTTACAGTTATTCATAGCAGTGTTCTTTATATTTTGCTAAAAAAGAGCAAAAATGATGGAGCCATATATATGAAGAAACATGCTATTTATGGATGAGATTCGTTTCCGTTTTACATGAGAACGGTACATTCTCGGACCGGTACGAAAATAACTCTTGTCGGGTCAGTGACAGAGATGAAGTCAGACCGGTCTGAGTTCATTTTTAGGCCAGCCCAATCTAAATGCATAAAAAGAAATGTATGGAGACTGATACAAACTCAAACCGGTCTGAGTTCGTCTCAGTCTCATGTAAATACCCCCTAGTTCGTAAAGCAACTATTGATTTTTGATTTTCACTTTTCACTTTGAAGATTGACTTTAAATATCAACTTTTAATTTTGCATTTTGACTTTTGGTGGTCACTGTGGGCTGCTGAAGTAAATTGAAATTGCCGTGAACAATTTGAAATTGCCATGAGTAAATTGAAATTGTCATGACACTTTTGGGCCACTGTAGAGATCAATGTCTTTAGTCCACAGGTGTGAGACACATGCATAATGCATGAGAGTTAGCAGGTATAACTGTATATTAATGTGTGACATGTCATATTATACTCACCCAGATGAGGACAAAGCCATGCCAAAATTTCCTTTTCCATGCAAATCAGGTCATCCTGTTTGACAATACCTGAGTAATAAATAATCAGATAAATAACAACATTTCAAAATAATTCAAACCAGCTTTGGGTAAGCAGGAAAGAAAAGGGCAAACTTAAAAATCAAAGAAACACATACAGTTTCATGTTGCTAAATCTGCTGTGAAACTTTGGACAACTACAGATGTAATGTACCAGTGAGTAGAGACAGCAAGATATAAATATGAACATACAGTTGTAATATCTGCCTGGGGAAGGGGAGGGAATATGGTAAAGCTTTATATTGGCTGTATGAGAAGGTATTGCTTTGAGCAGACTGGGGTTTGGAAATCAGAGAGTTCATTGAAGAACTGCAGGTAATAGTTTGTGGCAAAGTGTTGTTCCAGAAATTATATCCATACTGCCCAGAGCACATCTTTTCACCCCCTCAACAAGCTGCACTGATTTCAGTGTGACTGTGATCGCCTTCTTTACAGTATTATGTACGGGAAACTACACAGACTGTGCTGGGGAAAGCACGCGATCGAAAGCAAATTGGAACCTTTATAACCTTCACTTCCGGGTCGAGTTTAAGTAGTAAAGTGTAAGGCGATATACAGCAACTTCACATTTCGAAGTCTGAGAGAAAAAGTCTGAGTTGCAACTTATGAAATTAAATTTTGCACATCATAGATCATATTCCACACAATTCTAGGTGGTTTAAGGAACAGACAGCGAGCACATTCTCCTTTCATTGCACGGCGGCGTAATAAAATACATGTAACACAAGAAGTGTCATACGATTACTTGTATACGGTTCCCAAAGATTTCATAAGCCTTGAGCAATTAAAAATCAACCAATACTTACAAACTAAAAAACTTAGTTAGGGCAGCAAAATTTTCCTGAATTCAAATCGATGGAAGAACTGACAAGACAACTCCTTCTTCTTGCAGAAAACAGTCAGGTATGCTGGTCATGTGACAACTGCTTTCTAGTCCCAGGTCACGCACATGCAGAAGTCACGCTAGGTTGCACTTACAGTTTAACCACGTTTGAGAGATTCTTTTGGCCAGACAACGCAGAAAAAAAACGCTCTAGTACTCTGGATCACTGAGAGTGACGTATTGGATCATAGTTTGGATGCATCAATGAAATCGAATTTCGAGGAAAATAAAAATAAAGAGAAACAAATTAATAGGCTTTTTTTGCATGACTTGATCACGTGATCAACTTCAGTAAACACGAAGACAGTTCACTTTTGAAACATTTTGCCAGCAAAAGCTGAAAGAGCATATGAAAATTAGGTAACCTGAATATTTTCAGCTGTATATCTCAAAAGCAGCGATTGCAACGGCCGCCAAATTTTGGAACTGATTTGTTCAGAGAAAAACAACTTTCGCCATCCAGTAACACTTGCATGGTTTTCCGTACAAATCCTTGTAATTTCGACATTTTCAAAACCGTCATGAAGTATTTACTTAAGCATTACAGGGCTCAAATCTCCTTTTAATTCATAACAGGTGATTTGAGCTCTTAAATGCGTGAGGGAAAGATATAACAACAGTTTAAAAATTTTAGAATTTACAAGGATTTGTATGGAAAACCATGCAAGCGTGACTGGATGGCAAAAGTTATTTTTCTCATACAAATGCTTCTCACTTTCAGCGGCTGTTGGAATCGCCACTTTTTAGTTTTGAGATATGCGGCTGAAAATTATCATTCCCCTACCCCTTTGGTACGAGAAGATGGCCTGAGTAGGTGTGAGTGGCAACCGTTTCTTTTTGCTCTCGTTCAACGGCGCGGGGGGGGGGGGGATAAGATGACCGTTCGCTCAGTTGCGTACAAAATGGCATAGGGACGAAGACAAGTAACCTGATTCTTCACAAAATGACGCCGACTGATCTGAATGAATGTTTCAAGGAGACTCGCCTGAATGTCCATTTTCAGACCCGAAGTTGGCTCCTCACGAGTTGGATGGAAAACTAGAATTCGCGAAAAGCGGTACTCTAAGTAACACACATATCATCGGTGGATTTTTCCTACTTTTTTAAAAGGTATCTGTCACTTCGCTCCATGTTCTCTTTCTTTCAAGTCACAGATAAAAAATAAAAGTTGGCAGAAAACGCGGAAACCAGGCACCCACGCGCGATTAGTTACAGTTTTTTTTTTTTTTTTTTACAATGAACACTGTTTTCCTATTTTAAAAAAAGCAGTAGGCCATTTGCACGATGGCGTCATCTCACAACTACGACCAGAATACTTTTCGTTTTTTTTTTCACATTTAAATTTGGAAATCCTTGCGAGGTTTAAATAATAAAGGCCCTAATTTACACAAGAAAGCAAAACAGTGAAGGATTCCGGTCGTAGTAGTAAAACGACGTCATCGTGCAAAGGGGGCTATTGTTGTTTTGAAGTCGTTAACGTCTTATGTTAAGCTTTAGTGAAAGGAATTATGCAGCTGGAAATAATGTGGGCCTTGCGGATGACTCGGAGTTTGCGAGTTTAATACAGATGCCTGTCTTGTTACATCAAGTTTATCCCTTGCCTCTCTTCAACACTTCAAGTACTGATCAGCCCGGCAGCGAACTTTCCGGAAAGCAGATATTCGCCGAATTTAAACTAGAGGACGTAAAAGGGTTGGCCTTATTTTATATCTTTACACCGGACTAGTGTAAAAATATAAAATAAAGCTGACGCTTTTACGTCTCAACTACATTCGTCTAGTCGATATACAGTCGAACCTCTTTAATAAGGACACTGAGGGAGCTGTAAAAATTGTCCCTATTAACGCGCGCGCTAGGTGTCCGTATAAAACGGGTTAAATTTAGAGAAAATGTAAGGGCTTACTTTCCCAAGGAACAAAGCAAACTCTCCGTAATAATGAGGTGTCCATATTTAGCGAGTCTCCGTAAAGCGGAGTTTGACGATCGATGGATGAGAAACATCTTAGATCTCTCACACGTTTACACTAAAATGTGAATACCCGTCTAGTACATGTACACTTTTACATCCAGACTTTAAACCCCTCTGGACGTTTTGGCAGTCCTGTAGCTAGTATAAATATGGCCATTAATGTGAAGTTCCTGGAGAAAGACTATAGAGAACAGCTGACTCAAACTGGTCTGTTTCTAGCCTGTGTGGCACGCCCAAAAAGGGGAGGGGTAATCTCCATGCCTTTTGCCCTTCCTACTAATCCCCTCAGTACCCCTTTCCACGCAGCGGGACGGCGCAAATGGGAGTGAACAGAAAAGAAAAGCGGGGAGAAGGGTGACGAGTGAGGAGAGAGGTGATAAAGTTCTCTTCCCAGCTCGAGATGGCAGGAAAGCTGACGGATTGTCGGGAAATGAAGATATTTCATGATACTAAAAAACTATGCGTGTGAAAGGAACAACAGGTTGGAAAGAAAGTCATAGATTAATGTAGATCTAAGGGAAGACCTCCAAGGTCTTTTTGATGTAGTACGAGATCCTCTTGATTTAATGCCTCTTCCTCTCACTCTTACGTTTTTTTTTATTACAATCACAATAATATTATCATTATTACCACTACTACTCATTGCACTATTATTGTTATTGTTATTATCAACAATTATTATTATTTATTTTCTCTTTCCTTCTTATTTCGCACTACTCTATCTGACCGCCTGGAGTAGGCTAATATACTCTAGCCTGTGTACCTGGCTGTTTTTTAGTGTATTTTGTATTTTGGGGTGGGAGTGGGGGGGTTTCGTCCTCGGCCAGTTCAGCTTTCGCGCGCCTGAATCTCTTACTTTACGAACCACAGATGGGAAAAAAATAACAAAAAAAACCGACAGCCACCACTGGCTACGCAGGCTAAATATACTCTCATTGACCTATCGGTACAAGTGCGTTTCACTGTAGTTCAAATATATATTAGTTTAAACCCATTTATGCAATCTTTATACAACATAACATTGCAACTTTATTTACAACTGTTAAACTATTTAGCTGATACCAGCCTATCAGGGGACAGAAGATAGTTAACAAGACACCAATGCAAAAAGAATAATGATAGTAATGATAAAATAATATTAAAAATCATTGTGCATATAGATTATACTAAAACAACATTCTCCCTAAGACTCCCCCCTAGAAAATGGGAGGGGCGGGAAAATTCACTAAAATGTAACATTTATAACAATTATTTTAAAAAAATTATAACAGTTTGTAAAATCAAGGAGTTAAAACTCTACTAAATAAACTAGAAAATGTTTAAAATATTTTAAAAAGTCTTTTAAGACTTAAAAAAGCAAAACATTGGCGGATAATCTGGTACCCGGTGTTGACGAAGCCGACAACGAGAGATCTGGGTACGGATCTAGATCTTCAGGCAAGTGGGGGCCCCCCTCATCAAGACCCCAAGAAGAGAAGGGATCCGGCCTCGAAAATAACATTCTCGGCCTTGCAGGCTACAGTTTGGCCTAAATATAAGGTAGTGGCTCGCGCCCCTCGGGCCCCTCCCCTCGATCCGTTAATGTTCTCTTTGACTTTGCACGTCCAGTTTAGACCATCTGTACGGTTCAAGGTACCTTTCCTTATTATTAATTTGTTAGTGCAGTATTAAACGGGCTGTGCCACGCCTGTCGAGATCATTTTGTTAATATCAGGAATCACTCGTCCTTACTTAAAAAGAAACTTAACTTAAGCGAAGAAATTAATCACTTGTAAATGACAAAATTACTACCTTATGTCGAACAAATGTCTTCTTAGCATTATATCAAAAGTTACAGATAAAAAGAATGAACTTTGAAAAACTGGTGGGCTAACAAATGTTCAAAAACCAAAGTTACAATCCGTTTCATCTTCTTCCAAGTTTTGTCTTTTTCTATTTGCTGTTATTTATACATTCATTTCATGTTTTGAGCGATTATTTTCATGTCTCGCTAAATTTGGTGGCAGTTACCACTGTTTGGAGTTTAATAAATTTTGTGGCACAGCTCCTTTAAATCTGCATACGTATGTAAAGTCCTTTTTTTTTATAAAGTTATATATTGGATGACTTAGCACTGAAACTGTCGCTAACATTGCTGGATGATGACAACTTATTTTGCACCAAAGGGTGACAAATCCCCCAGCGGCTTTCGAGATTTCTCACCAAATCCCTTAAGTTACGCATATTAGCGTAACAGGAGAGACGAGGGAAAATAAGCAACAAAACTTGGTCGTAAAATGTCACGACCATGTTAAACTAGACAAACTTAGTCAAAGTACCACGCTTCTTTAATTGTGGCTTACATTTATCATTGACATCTTCGTCTTGCTACCAACTCAAGGAATATTTTATAAGATTGTATTTGTTTGTAAAAAGAAGAAGAGAACAAAAAAAATGCTGAACCTTTTTTCAAAGAGCATCTAGTTGTATCTACAAACTGGCAACAAGACTAATTAAATAAACGAGGAAAGTTCTTTGTCGATAATTGTGGCGCAAATACAAGAACAAGTAAAGTGAGCGGACAAGAGGTGGAAGAAATCTTCAGCATCGATATCTTTCTTATTCTACGTAACCATCATCATTCGATCAACGACTCATCGCGGGTAATTTGCTTGAGCTTCAAGATACAGTGCTGGAGAGAGATCATCGTCTGATCATTTACCCACTTAGTCTCTATAAAAAAATAACACAATGCGACTGGATATCCCGTTTAAGGTTGTCCGCCTCTAGCGAACTAATCGGATTATCTTCCGCATTCAAACAGATCAAACTGTTATTAATCAGTAGAGCATCTACCAATTCTACAGCTCCAGATTCAGTGATATTGTTACTGGTGACAATCAAGTGCGTAAGAGTACGATTTAATCGAAGTGCTTTTCCAAACGAGGATGCTCCCGAAGAGCCGATCGCATTGCTTCCGAACTCTAAAGCCTTGAGAGAACTGTTAGATTCAAGAGCTTTCGCGAGGGCTTCTGCACCCACACAGCTTATCTTATTGAGAGCCAAATCTAAATGGGTCAATTGAATACCAGTAGATTCCAGTGCACTTGCCAAGGCTGCTGCCCCTAAATCGCCAATAAGGTTAACTTGTAGATTTAAATGGGTCAAGCTGTGATTTGATTGCATTGCCTTTCCGAGAGCTTCTGCTCCAGGATCTCCAATTCCATTTTCAGTCAGATATAGTCGACTTAGAGAGCAGTTTGATTTCAGACCTTCTCCAAAGGGTGCTGTTCCGGAATCACCTATTGCATTGCTGCATAGGAACAAATGACTCAAAGTGCAGTTTGATTGGAGAGCCTCTCCAAGTGCTGCAGCTCCCGCCTTCCCGACCTCATTGAATGAAAGGTCTAAATAAGTCAACGATCGATTCGATCGCAAGGCTCGCGCAAGTGATGAAGCGCCAGATGCCCCAATCAAATCACAGCGCACAAAGTGTTGATGGATTTCAGAATCAGAATCCAGTATAAGGACGGGTTTTACGTTTTCTTCACTTCTTAATGGTTTACTTAAATCGAGGAAGGTAAGAGAAGAGTTAGATTTCAACACAAGAGCAAGCTTCTGAGCTACTGAATCACCAACATCATTATCACTTAGATCCACATACTGTAGAGAACGATTGCTATTTAAACTATTTGCTAAAACAATTGCTCCTAGATCATGGATCTGGTTTCCCGCCAGAGTTAGATGGGTTAAAGTACAATTTGACTGTAGAGCGTTACCTATGACAATGGCTTCTAAATCACGGACGCCAGCGTTACGAAGACTCAGATGTGTCAAACTATGACTCGCGCGAATAACTTCTGCGAGTGCTGCGGCTCCCTCAGAACAGATAAAGTCTCCTCTAAATTTCAAATGTGTCAAATGACGAAACGACTGAAGACACTTCCCAAGTTCTCTGGCACCAAAATTCTTGATCCACGACTGGTGTTGTGTAAAACTTGCAATGAATCTGTTTTTTTTCAGAAGAGGAAAAAGAATATTCAGAGTCTTCTTTCAAGTAAGGGTGGCTACAAAGCTTCAAAAAAAAAAAGTCAGTGTTCACGCTAAGCAAATTCAAATGCTTTAAGTCTTTTTCACGAACCCCCTTAACTGTTGCTAACAGTACCTCGTTTAAAGTACTATTTAAACATAAATCTGTCAATGTGCTGTTGGTTCTCAAGTATTCGGAATAAACGATATAATAGCGGTCAAGTTGCCCAAGGCTCAACTTTCTCACTGGAAAGCATTTCGCCAGTACACGCACCATTTTTCTTTGGTAACCCTTTAGTTCACTCTCATTGTCTTCACACTCTTTAATAACATGAAGTGTTTTAGTAACCACATCGTCTAAAACTTTCTCGTTATCACTCCATTTGTCCACACTTATAGTCCAGTCACTAGGTTTGCGTTCGCAGACCTCGAAATACCTGTCGGCATCAGCAAGGGCGCCATCGTTTGTCATATGTGGCCTTTCTTGAAAGAAAAAAGAACAAAGGCGTGATATTACAAAAACTGCCATTTCACTGCTCTTGCTTGACACTATTGGAATGAGAAATTCCCACACCTGCCAGTTGTCAACAGGACTGAGCTTAGCTAGCAGAGACTGGGCTTTTTCTTTGTTTCCAGTTATGATTTGCTTGGCCAGGTAGAATGCAGCAAAATATTCCTGGAAAGTTTTGTGAGTAAAAGCATAGCATGGCTTTGGCCTAATTCTACTCAAACTAGGCTCACGGGAAAGAAACGGTAATTGTAGGAAATCAGTGGACTCGCTTGTTTGGTCATCTCGACTGAAATACAACTGATTCTTCAACAGGGCTTCAAATGCTGTTTCTCCCAACTGATTCAGCTCGTCCGAACATCTCTCAAGGGGATCGTCGTCACTCAAAGGCACGCTCCTCTTGCTAAAATACCTTCTCAGAGCACATGAGACAAGATCATCATAAATCTTTGTTCTACTGGAGGGGAAAATTCCGTTTGTCTCTTCACACAGAAGACACAACAAAGCTGTATTTAGTGGATTAGCCGTTAACTCTCTCAGCTCTGTGTTAATTTTCAGCTGCTGAATCATTTTTTCTCCAAGGCTTTGGTCCTCGTGCTTGCTGAAATACTTCTTGACGTAACTGTCCACATCATCATTAGTATATCCGGTGATTTCCAGGAGTGTGTCACAGTATCGTCGTAGTCTTATTCCCTCTTCATGTCGAGCTGTTAAAACGAGGAAGGTGTTGGAAAAAATTTTGCCTTGAATCAATGGCTGAATGCACGGAAGCAGCTCCTGACGTAATTCATCCAGACCATCCAGAATCAGTAATATTTTAGACTGATTTGAACGAATAAAATGGAAGAAGTCTTCTTTTTCCTTCTTGCCAGCATCTTGTGGTAGAAGCTGATCATCAATAGCTTCCTCGATGTTAGCGGTTTTCATGTGCATGTCACGGCATTTTAACAGAAGCAATATCTCTACTTCAGGAAACGAAGCGTCAGGTGGAATTTTCCCCACGGACCAATCATGAGCCAGCTTTTGACAATAGGTAGTTTTACCCATCCCAGGATTCCCCTCGATCAGCACCACTCTTGGATTGTCACATTCTGGATGTGACTTGAATATTTCTGTCATATTGACGCTGTCATCGGTTAGTTGTGAACGTTCTTTTCTTCTACTAAAAATCTCCAATCTTGTAAAAATGTTCGATAGCTTCAGCTGTAGTTCATCTTCACACCATGGAAAGGGACACAACACCGCGCCTTTGTAGTCTCGTCTGATAAGTTCGACAAGTTTCTCTGGAATAACTAATGAGGGAAAATAAAAATGAGGCATATAATTTTATCCGCGCTTAAAAAAAGTACATTTGAGCACTGGACAAAAATGACCATATTTTAACAAGAAAGAAAGAACACTATGCTTTAATTTCTCTAGCCTGCGTAGCAGGCGCTTGGAAATAGTGGGCGCGTGTCTTCCTCGCGCGCGCCAGTTCTCTCTTTCGCCCACTACTTCCAAGGGTCTGCTACGCAGGCTATAATTTCCCCTTATTTAAGTCGGCGTTTTCGTTTGCCCCTGTTGGTATGCGCACACCATTTGTATCACGAGATTAAATGTGATCTGATGACTTTCTTTGATAACTGCATGCAAGGCTATTAAACTATTCTCTCATTTCTTGTAACAAATAAAATTCCTCTCTAAATCAGTTACAATTATTAGAGAGAAAATATACGCATAAAACGGCAAACGTGAGATTCAAGTTGAGAAATTTTCAAAATGAGAAATGAGCGGATAAAAACAGCTTAAAACAATTGTTATTGATTTGGCGTAAATCTACCGATTTCCGTGTAGTTAAACTTATAATGAACAGTAAACGATTTAGTAATGGAACACTTGGTCACGTGGTACAAACTCACATTTGCCGTTTGCCCTAAAAGTATGGAACGCCAACACTGTCACATGTCTTCCGATGAGTATTATATGCATTCGGGACACCATTATATCTAGTACTCATACCTTTATGAGCGGTCCATCAAAGAATATATTGACATATTTTCCTTATATACGGAGTCCATTAACAAATATATTGCGTGCCTACTGTGATATACGCAGTGTATTTTTCATTATATCGCGTGCTTTTGTCGATATGTACAGTGCACGTTTTACTATGTGTTGTCAAAACTTCGTTATATGTGGTTCATTTTCTTATCGTTTGGCATTAAGTTCACTACGGTTGACTGCTTGTGGACCTTAACGCAGCATTGACCTCCAGCAGCAATGTTATGAGCAGTACAAAAAGTTTGATGAGCAAACTTTCTGATGATATACCCACAATTCATCGCAGGAATGTTAGTTTCCAAGCTCCCTCGTTTCCTTTGATCCCGCCATTTTTGGAACAAAATGGAGTCCATCCTTCAAAAAGTTGGACTTTCAACGCTTTCCGAGCGCTTTGCAGATGAAAAAATCGACCCACACGTTATTCTGGCGATGTCAGACAGCAGTCTGATGCGTCTGGGTGTAGAGACTTTAGGGGACCGCGTCCGCCTCAAAGAAAATTGCAAACAGTTCGCTGATGGAGAAAGGCGAACAAATGTGGCTTCCACGAGCTCTGTCGGCTCTTCTCAAGCTCAGCAGTTGATCGAGGAAAGAAGGAGGCTTTTTCAGCCGTACAGCAGCCGCCGTGAAAAAGGTTCTGGAACCTCAAAGTCTGCTAAGAGGAAAAATCCATCCCGACGCACATGGACAGGTCAATTTGTGTGTTTAGCAGATCGACAAGCCAGCAGAGTGCCGTCTTCCTCGGAAAAACAGATCTTGCAGCAGGCAGGCCTTGGCCTAAAAAAGATCAAATTTTTTGTTGATGAAAACGAGGAGGAAGTGGTGGAGAAGCTTACTAGTGATATGCCAGGCGACGATGGCCATCCAATCGGCTTCCCTCAGCTAAAAGAAGGCAAGGGCTTTGAAATTATGAGTTGTGTAACAAATTCTCGTGATTTGGCAGTCATAAAATCGTCCTGGTCTGTAGAAGGGTTGAAGTCTCTTTTCACGCCTCAAACAAAGATTTATCTCCGGCCTATTCAGAAGAGCCTGCGTGTGAAAGGAGGGCAAGAAAACAGGCTGACATGCAAGTTGAAAGAGAAGTGTATGTGGTGTTCTAAGGAGATCCCTCTAAACGAGCTTCGATCGCACTTAGTGACTTGTAACTGTAATGTGTTTGATGACAACATTGAAGATGAGGTCATGGTGTTATCTGACGAGTCAAGAAATGATTTGAAAGATTATATGGCTAATGCACTGTCAAGTGCCACAGTTTCAACAAAGGAGGTGGAGTCTATTGGTCAAGGTGGCAGTGCCTATCCATCTCCCAGTGTGCCACTGGTGGCATCAGACAGTGACAGTAGCCCCTTGCTGACCTTCCCTTCTTCATCTGGCAATGGCAACCAAGCTGAAGCTGGTCCCTCTTCCTCTCAAGGCATTTCTACCATATCTGAGACCCACTTCATTGGCAATCAGACAGAGTCCAGTGACAGTAGCCCCATGTTGACCTTCCCTTCTTCATCTGGCAATGGCAACCAAGCTGAAGCTGGTCCCTCTTCCTCTCAAGGCATTTCTACCATATCTGAAACCCACTTCATTGGCAGTCAGACAGAGTCCACAGCTCATCCCTTGGAAGGTGTAACGATATTGTCACGCGTATCATTGTCACGCATATCACGTGTGACAAGTCAAGTTTGGACTTGCGCAGTATGTTAAGTTATACATTTGATCCCGGATGTATTCGCATGTGCTCCCTGATCTTGTAATGGCTGACATGTATTAAACCGGCAGTTCGTCTCCATAATCTCGTCTGTAGTCGTCTTCACCTAACGGTACATGGTGTCAGAAGTAAACTGGGCGTCAATTACAGCTCGTAGCCTCCGTCGAAGACGATTGTGAGTACTTTCTCCAATATAATCGCTCCAATATGCCGACAACCCCGAGCGACAACACTGGCGAAAGCGGTGATGGTTCGGTTCCGAATTCATCGACTACACATCACACGGTGATTACAGTTCCAGTGAATATCCCGCTACCAGAAAAGTTAGATTTAAGCGGCGGAAATCTTCCTGTTAAATGGCAACGATTCAGTCGAGCGTGGTCGAACTACGAAATTGCTGCTCAACTCAAAGACCCGGAAAATCCGGATAGGAACAAGCAACGAAGGACGGCCACCCTGCTCACCTGCATCGGGTCGGATGCGCTAGATGTTATTGACTCAATGGAGTTTGAGTCCGAAGACCAGCGGAAAGAGCCAGACGTGATACTTGAGAAGATGGAAAAATACTGCATTGGGGAATGCAATGAAACCTACGAAAGATATGTCTTCAACCGAAGGGATCAGGAGTCTAATGAGTCTGTGGATGCCTATGTTACTGCCCTACGTAAATTAGCCAAGACCTGCAATTATGGGACACTAGCCGACTCTCTAATCCGTGATAGAATAGTGGTTGGCATTAATGACAATTCAGCTCGAAAGAAACTACTACAAGCAGGCAAACTCACCTTGAGTCAATGTATTGACATTTGTAGATCTTCAGAGACCTCCGCACGGCAACTGAAGACTATGAATCAGGAGGATGTCCGTCTCGTAAAGGAGGAAAAAGTCAACCCGGCAGGCAAAAAGAAGGCTGGAGTATCGGACAACAGGCCCCGCACTGAATCACGAGAGTCCAGAATGACATGCAAATTTTGCGCTAGGCAGCATCCCTTCGCCAAGAAGAACTGTCCAGCTTGGGGAAACACTTGCAAGAAGTGCGGCCTCCCAAACCATTTTGCAGTCTGTTGCAGAGAATCGAAGAAAAAGGTGCTTTTTATGGATTTTGACTCCGATGATGACGAATATGTCGCAGAGATTGATGTGAAAGAGCAAGTCAATGTACTAGCCCCCCGCAATCACGCGAGCAAAATTTTTGCCACCCTTCTTGTCAACGGTGGGGAGGAGAAGTTCCAGCTTGACAGCGGCTCAACTGTAAATCTCATGTCAGATAAAACAGTGGAGAGACTCTGTGGTACGGGCTGTCTAAAAGACTTGGACAAAACATCTGTGACTCTGGTAATGTACAACCAGTCTGAGGTTAAACCGCTGGGCAAGAAACGCTTCCGGGTGACAAACCCAAAGAACAATAAGAAGTACAGTATTGAATTTCACATTGTTGGTGGAGTAAGTCCATGCAAGTCTATCCTGGGTCTAAGGGCCAGCAAACACCTTCAATTGCTAACAATCAATGAACACAACATCCTTGCTGTGGATTCAAACGATGAAGACCCTGTCAATCTCAAGAAAGAAGACTACATTTCGCTGTACAAAGATGTGTTCTCTGGGGAAGGCAAACTTGCAGGCCAACTACACCTGGAAATTGACAAGGATGTCCATCCAGTTCAGCTACCCACTCGGAGGGTGCCAATTGCCCTTAAAGAGCCTTTAAAACAAGAGTTGGACAGACTGTCAAGCATTGGAATGATCCTGAAGGTCGACACACCTACTGAGTGGATCTCAGCCGTAGTGGTCACAACAAAGAAAAATGGCAAAGTAAGACTGTGTATTGATCCCAAACCACTGAATGAGGCCCTACACAGGAATCACTACCCCTTGCCCACAATAGATGACGTACTCCCGCTGCTATCCAAGGCCCGTGTGTTTACAGTGCTTGATGCGAAAAACGGGTTTTGGCACATACAACTAGATGAGCCAAGCAGCTATGCGACCACCTTTGGAACACCATGGGGTAGATACCGTTGGCTTCGAATGCCATTTGGGCTTTCTCCTGCTCCAGAGGAGTTCCAGCGGAGAATTGATATCGCTCTCGAAGGTCTCCCCGGACAGAAGGCCATTGCTGATGACATCCTGGTGTTTGGATCGGGAGACACAGATGAAGAAGCCTTCAGGGATCATGATCGCCACCTGAAGGAGGTGTTCACCCGGTGCCAGCAGAAGGGCATCAAGCTAAACGCTGATAAGATGCAGTTCAGACAAAAGCAAGTGACCTACATGGGTCATGTGATATCATCAGAGGGTCTTGGAGTGGATCCGGACAAACTGAAGTCCATCAACGAAATGCCACCCCCCACTGACAAGCATGGTGTCCAGAGAATCCTAGGAATGGTGAACTATGTACAGAAGTTTGCACCAAACCTGGCAGATGTGGCTAAGCCCCTTCGAGATCTTGTGAAGAAAGATAATGAGTTTCTTTGGGAGGAAGATGTCCACGGAAAGTGCCTGGAGGATGTAAAGCGGGTTCTAACGCAAGCGCCGGTACTCAAGTTCTTTGATCCACAAAAGAAGACAGTACTGCAATGTGATGCCTCCATGAGCGGTCTTGGAGCATGCCTATTACAGGATGGACACCCCATCGCGTACGCATCCAGGGCCCTAACTCCAGCTGAGACTAACTATGCTCAGATAGAGAAAGAGTTGCTGTCTATTGTCTTCGGTGTTGAACGGTTTGAGAGTTACGTTTATGGTAGAAAGGTCTTCGTTGATACTGACCACAAACCTCTGGAATCTATTATGAAGAAGAGTTTGCTGAGTGCACCTAAGCGTCTGCAGAGAATGTTGTTACGTCTTCAGAAATTTGACCTCGAGGTCACCTACAGAAAGGGCATCGAGATGCACATCGCAGATCCCCTTAGTAGGGCGTATCTCCCACTGCTCAAGCAAGAGGAAGACACCAAGGAAGATGTGTGGAGTGTTGCTGATGAAAGATCACCAACAGAGATCGCGACTGAGTATGTGAACATGGCTGAGTTTGTGCCCATTCGACAAACGACCCTATGTGACATCAAATCTGAAACTGAGCTGGACGCTGCTGAGTGCATTAGCCACTATGATCAAACAAGGCTGGCCAGATAACAAGACAAATGTGCCCCCAAGTTGCAGAACTATTTCCCTTTTAGAGAAGAGTTGTCTTTACAGAATGGAGTTGTATTCAAGGGTGAACGAATTGTGGTTCCACTTACCTTGCGAGATTGCATTATCGACAAAGTTCATGCTAGTCACCTGGGCATTCAGGGATGTCTTAGAAGAGCTCGAGACGCTTTCTTCTGGCCTGACATGAGCAAGCAAATCACCGAGTTTATCTCAAAGTGCAGTATCTGTAATAGTTACAAACCAGATCAGCAGAAGGAGCCCTTAGTATGCTATGAAATACCGTCAAGGCCTTGGCAAAGCATCTCGGCTGACCTGTTTGAGCTCCACGGCTTTGACTACCTGGTTACCACTGACCGTTATTCCAACTTCTTCGAAGTGGATGTGCTGACGTCTAAGACTTCTAAAGAAGTTATTGATAAGCTTAAGCCCCATCTGGCTAGATACGGGCTTCCAGACCAAATTACTACAGACAATGGACCACAGTTTGACTGCAAAGAGTTCCAGCAGTTTGCAGAGCAGTACCAGTTTGAACACATTAGGACCTCGCCGCGGTACCCCCAGTCCAACGGCAAGGCAGAGAATAGTGTTAAAACAGCAAAGCAAATCCTAAAGAAGGCTTTTGATGCGGGACGTGACCCACAGTTGTCGCTACTGGACTTTAGGAACACACCATCGGAGGGGATGGACAGCTCCCCTGCACAACGTCTCTTCTCACGCAGAACCCGAACTTCCCTACCCATAGCTAGTCAGTTGCTGCAGCCACAGTTGGTCCCTGATGTGGGCGACAAGTTACAAGAGAGAAAATTGAAACAAGCCAGGTATTACAACAGAGGAGCCAAGGTACTACAGCCTCTACAAGAGGGAGATGTGGTGCGAGTCCGACCCCTTAATCGCCGGTCGAAATGGTTCAAGGCCCAAGTTGATCAGCACATAGATGTGCGCTCCTACAATGTTCGCACTGAAGATGGTCGACTTTATCGCCGCAACCGTTCCCATCTCTACAAGGTTCCTGAGAGGTACCAACCAAACCATGATGAAGAGCTGGTGTTAACTAAGTTGTCTACGCCGGAACAGCCTGAGGGTGCATGTCAGTTGCCTTCAGCATCCCCTGTATTGCGGTTGCCTTCTGTATCTCCCACACCACGGATGCCTCATGTTTCAGATGTACAACCTCCTACCAATGGTCTGCCAACGGATGCCCAACCAAGGGAAGTTACTGATCCTGCTCCGGTTACGACTAGAAGTGGCAGAATTGTTAGGAAACCTGCTTATCTGAAAGACTTCTGTGTCTAGTGTGATATTGAACATTGAATTGAATTGAATTCAATATTGAACGATGAAGAAAGGGCATTGGTTGGTTATCGACCAGTTTTGAACAGTGAACATTATAGCTAGTTTCTGTGCCATTCCCAAGTTTCCTTTGGGCTTGTTTGTTACACAACAGTGAGCGTTGAACTTCATAGTTAGTTCCTGCACCATTGCTAAAGCTTCCTTTGGCTATTGGTGTTTTGTTTTGTTTTGTTTTGTTTGGTTTCTTTTGTTTCATTTAAACGAAGGGAGATGTAACGATATTGTCACGCGTATCATTGTCACGCATATCACGTGTGACAAGTCAAGTTTGGACTTGCGCAGTATGTTAAGTTATACATTTGATCCCGGATGTATTCGCATGTGCTCCCTGATCTTGTAATGGCTGACATGTATTAAACCGGCAGTTCGTCTCCATAATCTCGTCTGTAGTCGTCTTCACCTAACGGTACAGAAGGCACTAGCTTGGGACCTCTAACCAATAATGACCACATCACCATGGAGAAGTTTGATGTTGACATTGCACTGATAATGCCAAAGATAAAAGAGCACATCTATTCTACAGGTTGGATTCATTTATATTATTTTGACCATGTAGTATCAATTTACTGCAAAACTCAGAAAATTTGAACACCAGAAATATTTCTGAAATGCTCTTTTAATTGCAAAAGAAAAATAATGCCAATAAGGCATTGAAAAAACAAAATTAAACAGAAGCAGCAGAGGTGCATAAGATAGCTTTGTGGTGGTTTGCTTGGCCAATACATAACCAACATGCATAAAATATTTTCTAGGCTTTCCATCATTTTCTGAGTTTTACAGTTACTGGGGCCTTGTATCAATCCCACATCAAATTAATATTTTGTAGGAAATTGTATAATACTTTAGAATAGAGTTGTAACTGAGTACTGAAATTAGCTTATATGAATTAATTTAAAGAAAAACCTTATGGGTTTGACCTCCGGTTTTATTGGCCTCTCTCATTCAAACCTCCCCTCCCCCCCTCACCCTTCCTCGATGATCTAGCAGTAAAATAAGACTGACAATTGGAATAATGATGTTGATAATATAATAATAATAATAATAATAAGATTAGTATTTAGCTGAGAGGTTATTCTCACCATAATAGCTTCCTGGAAGGTTGTTTACCTCCTTGTCACCATCCCATTCATTACAATATTGTGAAAAATATGCCTTTCCATAGGCGACTTTATATGTAGGAAAACTATTTGTATTAAATTTGTAAATAGGGGATACAAATAATTTTTAAATAATTATACTTTATCCTTAAATTGACAGACATCTTAAACAATCCTGTGGAGATACTGAGGTATGTCCAAAGCCAGCTTGTTCGAGGGAGGACTCTGGACGTGCTGGACGAATCGAGATGTGAGGTGGGCATTACCAATTACATACTGGTGGACAGATTGCATTTGCTGGAAACAGCCTTTGATGAAATTTCCGATCTGGAAAATCTGTTCCTTACTCTGGAAGTACAGTTTTATGGGGAGGTATGTTCTCAGCTGGTGTAGATCATATTAAAGATTTTGTTGATCTATGTAGATGTCATAAGAATGATTTGCTACTAGTTATAATAATATTTTAGTAAAAGCTATATAATTTTTCTGTTTAACGTTTTGAGATACATGTATCCTTACTTCCCCAGGTTGCTGAAGATTTTGGAGGGCCACGGAAAGAATTCTTTTCCCTATGCGTAAAAGCAATAAAGGAAAAGTATTTTGATGATGGCCTTCTGAACCACCAAGCAGAGGCATATTACTTAGTTGGAGTCATATTAGGTATGTTGTTGTTTCATTCAAGTCTGAAAAATGAATGACCTTTATAGAAATCTTAATTTGAGAGACAGAACTTTCTTATTTTGCTGTGACATGCATTATGCTAGGCTCTTCTGTTTAAGCCTAAGAAGTGTTTCTAAAGCTGTGTATGAGGTTTTTTTTCCCTCTGTTTCACAATTCTGAGTTCAAAGTGGTTCCTTGCGCCACCCCCATCTCCCAAACTTCTTAAATGTATAGTAATATTGGGTATCAAAAGAGTGCTATCATGTGCACAGTGTATCTAAGAAAAAATATATTTGCTTGGATGCTAGAATTGATCATCAATGATTTTATTGTATTTCCTATTATGCACAGGACTCAGCATTCTTCAAAATGGAGTTTTGCCAAGATTTATTGGTGAAGAGAATCTCCAAGAAATATTCTTCAGTCCTAATCCCAACCAGTGTGCAGAGCAACTTAGGAATGGATTCTCCAAGCTAGGAATTGTTCAGGTATATTTTAATCATAATGTTATTGCTCTTTGAATGAAAGCATTATCAACAGAGGTACAACAGGACCATTCATGCGATCTTTTTCTCTTACAGATTGCGAATGAGTTTCCCATCTTTCTTCATCTTTTACGCCCCAACCCCACTAGTGTCTTGACTTTGAAAAAGGTGACTCATCTTCTTCAACCTGAGTTTAGTGTGGAGGGGTCTAACAGAAGGCAGTTTGAGGATGCAGTGTACAGACAATTTGTGAAGTATTTGCGTAGGGCTGCAGGTAACTTGTAACTTCACAGACAAAAGTTATAAGTACATTTGGGAATGGGTTGAAATCATTAATCAGGAACAGATTGCCTTGTTGGAATTAACATTCCACTCTGTTTATTGAATATCATGATACATGTATTCCCATAGTGGTCTCTGCAAAGAAAATGATGCTAAGCCAGAAAAAATGGAATGCAAAGTAGGCAAATTATGTTGCACATGTGGCTTTACCCATTCGAACTGTTGAACAAACTGTTCAAAACGGTTTTTTTTCTTATTATTATTACTTTTACTATTTATGTTGTGGTTGTTTAGGATTGCTAAAGTTTGACCCATTTCTATTCTCTTGACAGCTGGACAAAGAGGGAATGTTACCCTTTCACACATTCTCCAGTTCGCAACTGGTGCAGAAGAAGAACCGGTTCTTGGGTTTTCCATTCACCCCTCCATTGTTTTTGTTGATGCAGAAAATGGTTTTGTTCCTACAGCCAACACATGCATTAATTCCCTTAAGCTTGTGAGGCCCACAATAAGTAAACCCCTACCATCTGAGTATGCTCTTTTCAAAGTTTTTGATTATGCATTTCTAAACTCATATTTTGGTAACATGTAAATGAAAATAATGATATAATGGCATACAGAGGCAATTTTACGTCATGAAGTAGCACGTTGGGTGAATGAAAGCCATACATCTTTTTTATGCTCAGTTGTCCATCGGACATTATTATCTTTGTTGTGAATTTCATTTCCTTTGCTGTTAGGCATAATGGCTTTTAACAAAGGAAAATAAAATTTCAATAAAAAAATAGGACATTATAACTTTACTGGAAGCTAAAACCAGTGGTTTCTTACATGTCAAACCCTCAACCATTTTGTGTGATGTGCTCTTTACCATTTTCCTTAATTGTGTTCTTTGTAAGAAAGGTTTTGAGAAGCCGTGGAAAGCATTTGCATTTATTTAAAGATTGGTTGAAATGAGGGGGAATAAAACAAGATCGATAATATGGACTGACTGATTTGTTTGTGATGTTATTGTTCTTGTGTAGATCGAAATAGAAATTACATTACCATTTCATAACATAAATATAGTTCCTTGCAACACTATTCTATTAGAGTTTTATTATTTACCTGCACGACTAAGGTTTGGCATTTACGGTTAAACGTTTAAGTTTTAATAAAGTCAACTTTCTTGACTACGGTAAACAAATTTTGATTTATTTTGTCACCCACATCGTGGGACGGTATCATATACGTTGGGGTAAATAACGTTCTTAACAATGTCCATAGCTTACATAGGAAGAGTAATTTCAACCGTAACGCGAAACGCTGATAAAAACTGAGAACTATCTATATACAATTGTCTTCAACCGAGAAACTTAAAGTGCATTTTATGATTTACAATGATAGACAGGTATTCCAATAACACACACACACATACACACACCCACCCTAAACTAACTTGGCACTACTCAATGAATCTGATGAAGTACCTGATAAGGCAATGGTTGTCATATAATCTGTTTTTACAAGCACGGTCACATAAAAATTGAATAGGGGTAATGATAGTTACTTCAGGCGTTTGCCAAGCACTTTTTGCTAATAATGCAAACCTGTGTCATTTTTATGATTTTCCTTACCTGCTAACCCTAGCACAGTCTCCTCCCCAGCTTTTTAGCATGAAATGGCTAAGGCTACATTTTGGTCCTCTTATGTGCTTTGTACTCGCAAATCATCTGCCATTTGCATCTAAATTCTCAATAATGTCCAGCACCGTTAAATATACATCTATCCCATAATTTGAAGATGTCCAATTTGAAGGGACTTGGTTACGTAAAATCTCAAAACATTGCTCACTCAAAGCACCTGGGACCTCAAATATTGGGCGTCTATCCTCAACTCTCTTTCGTCCAACACTCCCTCAGCACCATAAGATTGAGCTCAGCACTTGACAGCTCAATGCCCACCGGATTTTGTAGCTGGCCAGAAACCCAAAGGCGAATCGGAGAAGATTTTACGGTTCTCATGCGATGTCTGGACCATGCATTTCTCCACAACTCTAGTTTTTCATTAATCTTCGGTAGGTATACATAGTGGAGTGCAGCAATATGAAGGGTGTTAAATGGGTCTAGCATCCCTTCGTCTTCAAGAAAGTAAAACAATTGATAATACATGCTTAGAACCCCCTCATAAACATCCCTCCACAGTCTTTCGATTCTCTGGTTGTGTGTGCTTTTGCCAGTGATCATGCTGCCCCTATTTATACCCCTTCTCGTTAACATGTAATCAGCTACTAACACGTTTTCCCCTCCTTTATCTGACCTCACTCTGCTTGGGAGGCCGTAGTTTTCCACACCTTTCAAAAAACATTCAAGCACAGTCTCAGCCTTGTTATTGTTTCTGCATTCTAGTGCTACTGGCAGACGACTAAATCCATCAATCGCACCAAAAACTACAAAGTACCACCGCACCAACTTGTGATTCGTGTCTATATGCCAAAGGTGATTAGGTCCCTGTACATCGTAGACGCGTCTATGCAGGCGCCCTTTTTCCTAGCCTTTACTCCATCTCCGTTCACTCGGTGCAAACTATCTCTAATACGCATCCTTTGCACTATAATCCCTTTCTCGATCAGGAATTGCTTGATTAAACTTTCTCCGCAGTATGGAAAATCCTCAGTAATGTTTTCAATATGCTGATCTAGTTCCAAATCTGAAATGTCTGTGAAATCTGACCTGCTTAGTCCAAAGAGACTCATCCTGCGGTAAATAGTACTTTCAGAAACAGACAAAATAGTAGAAATTTCTTTGATAGTGAAACCTTCCCCTAATAGATTCTCAAGAACACACTTAGGAATGGAGAATGATGGTGCTCCACAAGTTGCCTTGACTTTCCTTGGTGCTTCTCCTCCAAACGTTGCACACTCGATTCTGAGAGCCATCATGTCTCTTCGAGAGGTTAACCCTAGACTTTCTAGCTCTTGTACTGAGAGTTTACAAACAAGATCGGGTGTTATTTTTTCCTGCTGAAATTTCTCTTCTAGATATCCCAGATTCACTTTCTTTAACACAGATGACATCATGGAAACGGCCATTATGAAAAAAAACTCGCGTATTTGAGACAGATTCAAAAATGGCGCGGGATCAAAGGAAACGAGGGAGCTTGGAAACTAACATTCCTGCGATGAATTGTGGGTATATCATCAGAAAGTTTGCTCATCAAACTTTTTGTACTGCTCATAACATTGCTGCTGGAGGTCAATGCTGCGTTAAGGTCCACAAGCAGTCAACCGTAGTGAACTTAATGCCAAACGATAAGAAAATGAACCACATATAACGAAGTTTTGACAACACATAGTAAAACGTGCACTGTACATATCGACAAAAGCACGCGATATAATGAAAAATACACTGCGTATATCACAGTAGGCACGCAATATATTTGTTAATGGACTCCGTATATAAGGAAAATATGTCAATATATTCATTGATGGACCGCTCATAAAGGTATGAGTACTAGATATAATGGTGTCCCGAATGCATATAATACTCATCGGAAGACATGTGACAGTGTTGGCGTTCCATATAAAAGCGAATGAAAACCTACCTTCAGATGTCATCAGTGGGTCTTGAAGAGAAGCGTTTGACAAAGCAGATTCTCTTGTCTTCAGGTCATGAAGCTTTTCTGCAAAAGGAACAAAAAGGAGAAAGGAGAAACGTCGACTTGGAAGTGAATTTTCAATTTTCAGAACTTACTCAGCGTGCAAAATAATATCCTACTATTTAAGAAGGAGGAGTCAATTAGTTGTCGCAATTCGGACGATCGCGTCCTGGGTTAGTGCCTTTTCTAACGGTGATCTTGCGTGTTAGATCACTAACCAGAACCTTTATTGCTTTCGCACAGAGCAGGTATCAACAGCGGGGTGGGCCGTATTCGGTAAGAAAAAACTAGACTCACAAGGAATGGGCTTATTGCTTGATCTCCTAGTTAACTTAAAGACTGTGCGCATGGTCTTTAACTTGTTTAAACCTCTGATCTGCTGACTTCTTTTTGTAAATGAGACTGGAAAAGATTTAATTGACACATTGAAACTACCTTCAAGAATGTGCACTTGGTCTTCAATTTGTCCAGTACGAGTCTCCAGATTTCCAAACCTCTGAGCAGTATCCTCTACAACATGCAAACAAAACAAAATGTGCGACGTCACGAATGAAAGTACACACTAATCAAAATGTTAAATAAAATGAATTTTCACCATCAGTATTTTAAACGAAAAAGAGATTTGAAGAACTAATATTCATAGCCCACAGAGCAATCACTGCATGCCTTATCTCGAAATTACCTTCAAGAATGTGCACTTGGTCTTCAACTTGACCGGTGCGAGTCTCCACATTTCCAAGCCTCTGAGCTGTATCCTCTAAAATATACAAACAAAATAACATGTGCGACGTCACGAAAGAAAGTACACACTTATTAAAATGTTAAATAAAATGAATTTTCACCATCTGTATTTTAAATGAAAAAGAGATTTGAAGAACTAATATTCATAGCCCACAGAGCAATCAGGGCCTTTTTGCGAAATTACCTTCAAGAATGTGTATTTGATCTTCAACTTGACCGGTGCGAGTCTCTAAATTTCCAAACCTCTGATCTGCATCCTCTACAAAACAGAAGTAGAAAGTCCACAATTTTCAAACACTCTGATGAGTAAATATAAGGTTTAGAAACCATTATATTATGCTGCAATAATGACACAAGAATTATGAAAATGGGCAGGGAGGGGTTAAGACTTAAGTAGGATTACCTTGAAAGGTCTTTAGTCTTTCCACCATCTGTTTCATCTCTTCAAGAATTACGGCAACGTTTTGCAGCTCTTGCTGAACTCTCACCTTTTCCTGGTCAAATTCTACAGACAGGTTGCTCACGTTATCTTGCAGAAATTTTACTTCTTGCTGAACAAGTTGAAGCAATGCTGGGTCCACAGGGGAGTTCATGCACAACAGAGTCCCTGCAACAAGGCAGTCCCGATTACACACTAATACCTGACACATTAACATAGGTCATGAACAGCTTCCTGGAAAGACCATTATAAATTAATATCCAGGATAGTTTCTTCGAAGAGAGGTGATCTCTTCCTTAAAGAACACTCAGACCTCATGATCACTTCTTCTTCAACTTATCTGGGCAAACATGTTGAATTCTAGGTGGCAAGGTGAGGCATGAAGCAAACTGCTGTTGGGATTAGTTTTCTCTTTTCTGTGGGAGGGGTGCATTGAGGTTAATTGCGATTTAGGGATAGTTTTTGTAAGCATATTATTTAACATACATAGAAAAAGTAAGTGATATAAAGTAACCGCTGATAAACAGGACCTTTCAGCTACAAAAGGCAAAAAAATACAGTCGAACCTCCATGTGAGACCACCTCTTGTCGGCCCCCTCCCATAAGGGACCGCCAATCCAAAACACCAAACTTTTCCCCGTCAAAGCCTTACAGTTGGAACCTCTAGTAAACGACCACCTCCTGTAAGCGACCGCAACCACTTTTTGGGCGCGACGATTAATGATTTTCCATCGTTTTTAACCTCTAGTAAGCAACCACTTGACACATTTTTTTATCTCGGCTATTTTTGCTGTGTGCACAAGGTTACTTAGAATATCTGAAGAACTTCAGTGGCAACATGGAACTACACATATCCTTACTAAGATATTGCATGCAATAATTATTATCTTCCACAAAGTAGATGTGCCTGGACCTCTTCTCAGAAGAGACCCCCTGAGGGTGGATTCTTGTAAACGACCACCTCCCATAAACAACCACTCAGTCTTTGCATTTTGGGTGGTCGCTTATGGGAGGATCGACTGTACTAAATATTGTACCAATACAATATATTATTTGATTTTCATATTTTAACTGCATGGACAAAGAACTCTACCTTTAGTCTCCCAGTCTTTTAGTTCCGCAAGGAGCTTAGCTTCATCTGCAGCAGGTAGAGCCAGGACTCTTACTAGGTGTTCCATCTCAACAAAACTCTGCAGAAACTTAACAGGATCCCACTTACTGAAGACACAGTGTGCTCAGTCATTCCTGACACTCTTGACATCACCAGCTGCAGCTTCCACAGCAGCTGAGAACACAGGTACACCACCAAGCAGCGTGAGTACAGCTGATGCATCACAGTGGTCATCAAAAGCATTGAACTTTGCCATAAAGTTTTCTACATAGAGCTTGGCAAAGTCAATGTGTGATAACACTCTACAATCAAACAAGGAAAAGTTGTATTTTCCACCAGGAAGCTTTGGGTGAAGACTGTTACCGTTAATGTTCTCATACTTTAAAAACTTTCTTGGTGGCCACCTTTGAAGACGACCAGATGTACTTTGCGTGTGAATATTGTGGCTTGTCTTGAGATTGTTGTATTCCTTATCAACCTCTTGTTCCACAAAAGGACGGATCTGTGGCACAAGGATCTTGTTGAGTGCTATTCCCGCCACAAGCCATCTTTTCTGGTTGTCAGATGCACCAAGATGACTGCATCTAAATGATAAATAAGGAAAATACATGGTAAAGCCAACAGTGTGTACAACAATATAATTGTGAAAAGGCGAAGTTCACAGTCATGTATACCGGGTAATTTATTTTTTTTTAGGCACATGGAGGTTATGTTGATGGTTTCAAAACTAACTATTGCATTTTGTTGTTCTGTAGTCGGTTTAAAACTAACTTGTAAGTATCGTTTAAATTTTATATTAATAAGTATCTCTTTAAAAACATCTTGAATTGAAGGGGGAATTACTAGCCAACTTCTCCTACTGAAGTATCTGATACTTTCCATCACCCTTTGGTGTTGAAAGCAATGTTCATGAATACCTGACTAAAACAACAGGGTTATTTGTTTATTGACACAATAATGGCTACACCGTAATTTTGCTGTTTTTAAATTGGTAATATAATGTCCACCTTTGACAATGTTCAAGATGTCCACAGTAACCAAAACTGTTTTGTTCGGAAGCCTCCAGAACAATTTTATCAATCTTCAGACCTATTCAAAACATCTTTGCAAATGATCGGATACCGTCGGATCCCAGGGTGGGTACTCGGGATTTCAAGTGACGCGGATGATCGCAGGATTTTTTTGGGTTTGAAATTTTCGATTTCGGGATTTTTTTGGGTACGAAAATTTGGCAAGTAGTTTTTTAGGTAGCTTGATTTGAGTAGGGATTTTTTGGGGGTATTAAAATAAAAAAGAATCGGTAGTGCCCTGGCTGCGCAGTTCTGTGAATAAAGTACAAACAAACGTGTTTTGCTGTTGTTTAATAGTTAACTATGGTGTCGCTTTACATCGCACGTGTTATAGAATAGTCTGCATTGTCCCGTGGTGCCGGGCCGTGTACAAGACTTCAACCGCTTCAATTCAGTCAATTGGCTTTACCGTCACTGGAATTCCCACAAAATCGGCATGGGATTTTTTGGGGGTTAATTTTTGGTCCAGGGATCTTTTTGGTTTTTGCTGGAAGCCCTAGGGATTTTTTGGGGTCTTCACTTTTGGCTCCATTCGATCATCCCCGTCACCTGAAATCCCGAGTACCCCCCCTGGGCGTCGGATATCCAGACTGGTGAGCTCCGGCTAGTATACAGACTGTGTGTACCTGCCAACTATTTCTGAGTCAAATGCATGAGATTTTTACCTTGCCATGACTGGGATTTCTGGAAAAGATTTCCAACAACTTTCAGAAGACTTCTGAACATTGCCAAAAATGTCCACAGATGTTCTGAAGACGTTTCAGTACTTCCACAGCGACTTAAAAGACAACAATTTTAGCATGCTTTGATCTCGTTAGAATACAAAAAGTCATCATTTACCACCTTTTTGGATTGAATTGTTCACGTGTTACAGAACAGATTATCCGAATTTGTGAGTCAGGCAAGAGAAATTGTCCTTGATGTGTGAGATCAATGTCTTTAGTCCACAGGTGTGAGACCCATGCATAATACGTGAGAGTTGGCAGGTATAACTGTATATTAATGTGTGACATATGTCATATTATTCTTACCCAGATGAAGACAAAGCCATTTCAAAATTTAGTTTTCCATGTTAATCAGCTCATCCTGTTTGACAATACCTGAGTAATAATCAGATAAATAACATTTCAAAATAATCCAAACCTGCTTTAGGTAAGTGGAAAGAAAAGGGCCAACTTAAAATCAAAGAAACACATACAGCTACATGTTTCTGAATCTGTTGTGTCGAAACTTTGGACACCAGCTATTGTACCAGTGAGTAGATACAGCAATTAATTAATAAGATATAAATATAAACATACAGTTGTAATATCTGCCTAGGGAAGGGGAGGGAATATGGTAATACTTTATATGGGCTGTATGAGAAGGTATTGCTTTGAGCAGATTGGGGTTGGGAAATCAGAGAGTTCATTGAAGAACTGCAGGTAATAGTTTATGGCAAAGTGTTGTTCCAGAAATTATATCTATACTGCCCAGGGCACATCTTTTCACCACCTTAACCAGCTGCACTGTTTTCAGTGTGACTTTGATCGCCTTCTTTACAGTATTATGTAAGAGAAACTATCACAGACTGTGCTGGGGAAAGCTCGGGATTGAAAGCAAATTGGAACCATTATAACCTTCACTTCCGGGTCGAGTTTAAATAGTAAACGGTAAGGTGATAAACAGCAACTTCACATTTCGAAGTCTGAGAGAAAAAGTCTGAGTTGCCAACTTATAAAATTAAATTCTGTCCATCATAGATCATATTCCACACAATTCTAGGTGGTTTAAGGAACAGACAGCGAGCACATTCTCCTTTCATTGCACGGCGGCGTAATAAAATACATGTAACACAAGGAGTGTCATACGATTACTTGTAAACGGTTGCCAAAGATTTCATAAGCCTTGAGAAATTAAAAATCAACCAATACTTACAAACTAAAAAACGTAGTTAGGGCAGCAAAATTTTCCCGAATTCAAATCGATGGAAAGAACTGACAAGACAACTCCTTCTTCTTGCAGAAAACAGTCAGGTATGCTGGTCATGTGACAACTGCTTTCGGGTCCCAGGTCACGCACATGCAGAAGTCACGCTAGGTTGCACTTACAGTTTAACCACGTTTGAGAGATTCTTTTGGCCAGAGAACGCAGAAAAAAACGCTCTAGTCCTCTAGATCACCGAGAGGGATGTGCTGGATCATGGTTTGGATACATCAATAAAATCAAATTTCAAGAAAAATAGAAATAAAGAGAAACAGATACATTTCTTTATTAAGCAACTATTATTAATCAAAATTAGCATTTGCTATTATTAATAGCCTCTTTGCATGACTTGATCACGTGATCCACTTTCGGTAAACACGAAAACAGTTCACTTTTGAAACATTTTGCCAGCACAAGCTGAAAGAGCATATTAAAATTAGGTAACCTGAGTATTTTCAGCCATATATCTCAAAAGCAGTGGTTGCAACGGCCGCCAAAAGTTGGAAGCATTTGTTTGAGAAAAACAACTTTTGCTATCCAGTCACACTTGCATGGTTTTCCACACAAATCCTTGTAATTTCAATTTTCAAAACTGTCCTGAAATATTTCCTTAAGCATTACAGGGCTCAAATCTCCTTTTAATTCATAACAGGTATTTGAGCTCTTAAATGCGTCAGGGAAAGATATAACAACATTAATTTTAAAATTTTAGAATTTACAAGGATTTGTATGGAAAACCATTCAAGCATGACTGGATGGCAAAAGTTATTTTTCTCATACAAATGCTTCTCACTTTAGGCGGCTGTTGCAATCGCTACCTTTGAGATAACTGAAAATTATTCTCAGGTTACGTAATTTTAATATGCTCTTTCAGCTTGCGCTGACAAAATTTTTCAAAAGTGAACTGTTTTCGTGTTTACCGAAAGTTGATCACGTGATCAAGTCATGCAAAAAGCCTATTGATTATTTCACCAAACAAAGTCAGTAACAACATTAAGATCAACATATCTTGCTCCAGGTAATAATTAATGAGCTACATCCATTCTCTAGGGAGGAGCTAGATTCATCAGGATTACTGGCAGGTAATTTTTTTTTTTTAAATATATCTATGAACAAAATAAGTTATTCTCTCTTTCTTTGTAGCAGCTCTCAGTTCCAGGGTTTATTCTAGGAATTCATATATGTGGGCCCTTTTCCAAGAAAGAGGACCCAAGTTAGGAAGTTATCTTAACCTTTTTTGCACCACCTGATGTGATGTTTTCTCTTTCACCTCATTTCAATGTTATTATTGCTGTCATGCTATTGACCCTGCTGCTTGACTTCACCTTACATTCTAGTCAGCAGATTGAGCTCCCATGGCTACTATCCTAAGGCCAGCACCTACAATGGTCATTCCAAATAATCAAACAGGTTGGTCTTTACAACTGCTTTTCAATCCCCTTTTCATGTACGTGTACTACAGAATGAATTGGTCTTCCCAGGGTTGTCACTAAGATTTCACGTTGCCGGGTAAAACAACAAGTACGTGGGGAATCAAACAACTAGGAATTTCTTTTGGTTCTATTTTTCTTCAACATCGTATTTTCCAATGAAAGTAGCCAGGGACCACATTCATAGTAGCTGGGAGAAATCCTCTGTCTCCGGCTCTTAATGACATCCCTGCTCCCTTTACATTGTAAAACATACGTTAAGAATCTCATACTGTACTCCATATTCTATTTCTCACTCTCTCACACTAAATGTATGTTCACAACCTCTCATTAATGTCTATCATACTTTTTTATAGTAAGTTGTGTTACCCAGTCCCGCTAAGATTTAACATGCAAAGGTTAAAAAGGTACAAAAGCAGTCTAAGGTTGAGAGATATTTACTTAAGGTGGGTTCTTTAATTAATTTTAATAACTCATGATGTGTCATTATTTTTCAAACGGGACCTGCCAAAGATACAGGGACCGCGGAGGGGGAGGGGCTGGTGGGGCCGCGGCCCCACCACTTTTTTGCGCCCCCGCCCCCCCGGGGGGGGGTACTCCCT